CACAGAAAAGAAAACCTTTATGTTTCCTGGCACTAAAAGCGAGAGCCTAAGGCGGGGTGGGGGTGTAAAAGGTGCCCAGTGCCTAGGGGCAGAGGGCTTGGTGTTGACAGAAGCCATTTCCTTGAGTCCCACTGGCACAGGGAGCTGGAACTAAATTCTATCCAAAATGTCAGCAACCCTGGAAAGACTATCCCTTGACTAAAGGAAGCAAGAAAACCTTAGTTTTCTAGTCCATTGAGGCAATAAGGAGCCTGTGTTCTCTGAACATTTCCCTAGATTAGGTTTAAAAAAAAAAAAAGTCTCACAAAAAACTAGAACTTCAAATGTGCACTTTGTGCTGGAATCCAAATTTACTATTTTTGTACAGGAGGCACAGGCTGAAATTTTCATATAAAAATTGACTCTGGATCACTTGTGGCACCATTAGCTCAGTAGGGGTATTCCCAAAGCCTGGGATACATGACTCTTTGACTTAAAAGAGTTATCACCTGCTGAAGACAGCTACAAAAATAAAGTTGCACGGCTCAGGAGAAAGTATCCATCACCAAGAGAGCAGCATTACAAAAAGGGGTTTAGCACCCCATGAATGAGGGGGTGTAACTAAAAGAGCTCATAAACTAGAATGCTTGAGATGAGGAGGTAGGAAGACAGTGAAAAAAGGAACAAGAAACTTGAACAAAATAGAAGTAGAAATAAAAATATCGGCACTGAAGTTTTAAAACTTAATGATACGTTAGCGATTAAATAGATAACAGGATTAGTGAGTGGAAGGTTTAAGAATATTGAGAGTCTAGAAAGGAAAGACTGAAGATAATGACACAAAAAAAGGACGGGCAAAGTCTAACAAGTTCCAGAAGAAAAGAAAATGAGAAAGGATCAACAAAGATACAATGGTAATAATTTACAAGAAAGGAAATTGAGGAATCATACTTAGGCTGGAGCAGTATAAATAAACAAATCCCTTAACAGACCACAAGGAAACTGCAGCATGTTGAAGACAGAGAAAATCTCAAAGTCAGTGAGAGGGAGAAATGATTACCCATACCACAGAACAAAATGGCAGAACTCCTCAGCAAGAGGCGGCAAAGGAATTGTATGTTCTAGATGCTCAGGAAACGCTGCCAGTGAGACAAACACAGTTTAACACAGACAGTACCCTCCTCTGCCTCCCTCAAAGGAAAGAATTAAAGGTATTTTAGTATATATCTTTAAAGAGCCTAAAATACTTCAGACAGAAGATTATTTTTTCCAAAAGGCAGGAACGGATAGTGCTATTCACAAAACGTAAAAAGTACATTTGGGCAAGAACGAAAACAAGAACAAAAGGATTCACTCGGATGGGAGGAGGGTAAAAGCAAGGTGACCCATCATCTTAGATCTGAAGCATCTGAAAGGTGAGCGGTACTCGGAGTTCCAAGCTTCCAAGGGCCTCGTGGTGTGCACACTGTTAAGTCAGGGTGCAGGCTGGATCTTTCGCTAGGCTACCTAGCAACCTTAGCCTTAAAGCAGCTATAATTTGTTCTCTGGCACTTCCGAAAGCGAAGGCCCAAATTCAAAGTGTCCAATGGCTCCTGCTCCATGGAGGCGCTAGGAAGACACACCTCCTGCCTTTCTCCTTGCTCTGACCAATACCCACCTCCGGCCTTCCTTAACTTGCAGCTACACCACGCTGGTCTCTGCCTCCACCTCTCCCCAGTCCAAAGAAGTTTACACGCCGAGGTTCTGGGTGGACTTAACTTTTCGGAACTACAATTCAACACAATACATATGTTAAAAAATGTAAAGCAAACTGAAGTTTCCTTTAGGTGCACGTAAGTTCTCAACAAGAAGAGAAATACCAAAAGCAATCTCCTTGGAGGTGGGACAGGAGAAATGGAAGATAAGAAGAAGCATGGTCCAGCACAAATGATCCAGAAATGATTTTCAATATAAATAAGTAAACATGCAACCATTACAAGACAAATTCAGCAGAGACTGAAAGCAAAACCCACATATACCTCTGTTGATCGAAACATTCTCAGTCTCTTCAAGATTTTCCTCAGGGCCATAGCCTAGCAAGGTGGAGCACATTCTCATTAAATGAACGTCCTGAAATAACTTTCATCTGTGACAACTTTAAGACCAGCCCATAAAACAGAGGTCCAAAATAAAAAAGAGGAAAAAACTGCCTTCAAACCAAAGCCTCTTCCCTCACCCCCATTCTAGCAGTAGTAGAAATGCTAAGATTTTTCTGGATTAGTTTCAAGATGTTTTCAAAAAAGACCTCAAAGATTAACAAACAGTTAAAACCATGAGATTTATTTTTGATCCCTCACTCAACTTTATTCTTCTGCCAACTCTGGCTTAAGAAAAAAATGCTTTGACATTCCAGACTCCAGAGAACAGATCTCCTCACAGCCCTGGCAGAATGTGATTGACCCCAGTGAGCACACATTCTGGATGCACAGCACAGCAGGGGCCAGATTTAATGAGTTCCGAATACAAAGTCATTTGCGAGCACACACACATTCAAATGAGAGTATCTCCACTTTGACCTATGAAACAGTGTATAATTCAAAATAAGTCCAGTTTTAGCACATAATGATGTCAATCACATTGAATTCAATGGCTTATGCACTTTTCCTTTAAACCTCATTTAGATGAAATGGACAGCCAGTCTAACAATGCAAAGAATGGGTTACTACTTCAAGAAAAAAAAATTTACAATGAAATATATAAGCAATTTTGATTCACGGCCTATGTTAATTCTTAGTGAACTTCCAAATCAGAAAAACTCTGCCCTTCAGAGTAGTTCAAAATCATACTTGAGGCCCTCCCTGGTGGCACATCAGGTTCAAGTGCAGCACTGCAAGCTGGTCGCAACTGCTTCAGTATGAGTTTGATCCCCATCCTGGGAGGTGACCCCCATGGTGAAGCAGACCTCTCCTGACCAGCCCGCTGCTCCCCTCAGCAGTGTACTTCTTTCGATCTGCCTGTTCTGTCTCTGGTGAATCCTCTAACTGCCCCCGCACCTCTGGCCTGCACACCAGTTCTGTATGCATAAGTAAAAAAAAAAAAATCACACTTATTTGCTTCCCTCAATATTGTTCACTCTCTGATGACAGAATTATACTGTAAACCTTCGTATCTCTGATTCGTGATATAGTGGTTGGTGGCCAATGCATTCATTGAATATATGAAAGATAAGTTCCCCCCAAGTTATTTCCTTCCGATTATAAAGATTCTTTCTCCTAAGCTTTCAGTAATTTCACAGGCTGGAGGAGTTTCATTCCCGAGACAGACTCAGCACTGTTTTGGACAGTCCATGTCACACACAAAATCTCATCGGGGTCTGAGAAAGGGCCTGTGGCTTAGTATAGAGGATGGCGTCGTGAGAATTACGGATAAAAGCCAGAGGTGTGGGGGGGGGGGGGGTAAGAGGATTCACCAGAGAGAGTGAGAAGCAAAACAGGCAGATCAATGAGGTACACTGTTGAGGGGAGCAGTGGGTGGGTAAGGAGAGGTCTGCAGTGCCATATGGGTCAGCTCCCTGGCTGGGGATGGAACTCATGCTGCAGTGGTTTCAGTTTCATAGTTCTGTGCTTTAACTTGTTGCACCACCAGGGAGGGCATGATTTGGGTTATTAGCACAAAATTAAGATGCTTCAGTATTTATACATGGAGGATAATTTCCGTTAGAAAATACCATTAAAAAGATAGTGAAAATAAAGGCCTTTCCTTTCCTTTGATGGCTGTTCCTCAATTACTGTGTAAGACTGCCTTAGTTTGTGGTGTCACTTGCCAAGCCTCATCAGCTCAGGATGGATAAACTAAACACACTTTATTAAAAAGCAGTAAAGAGCCCTCCCTGGAGACACAAGAGGTTAAGTCTTAGCACTATGAAGCTACTGCCAGCCACTGCAGCACAAGTTCGACCCCTGGCCAGGGTAGTGACTGACAGGGCACAGCAGACCTCTTCCAGCTCACTCGATGCTCCCCTCAGCAGTTTATTTCAGTATATCCATCTGTTCTGCTCCCCAATGTCCCTGGTGAAGCCTCTCACTCCCCACATCTCTGGCTATATACCAGCTCTTATATGCATAAATAAATCTTTAAAAAAAAAAGACAGAAAAAATCAGGATGACTTTTAGAACTCTATCACAACATCTTTTATAGCTTCATAATCTAGAAATCTAATTATAAGAATGAAGTAATTTCAAAAAGAAATATAAAATTCTAGGCTCAAATAGGATTGGGAAAGCTCACCATTAACAATTTTATTTAGACTCTCAGAAGAGAAAAAGTAAATACATATGGCTCAAATATGCATGACATAAGTCGAATGTATTTCAATTTTCAAGAGATTGATTAATAGGAAGATTCACAAATAATTTTTCCATAATAATAACTTGTTACCGTTTCTTACTTTTGGCAATAATGTCAAACACTTTAAACCACTCTACTCCATGGCTTACATAAAAGTACGTAGTGATCAGCAAGCACCCTAGTTGTAGTGAATCTTTAATGAAATGTCTTAAATTTTCAACTTTTTAAGTCAGGGAACTATTATTTTTAAATGAGACAAAAATCGTATTAGGAAAATAAACTGTATTACACTAGCAAATTTTTATAAAAAAACTTGAGTGTATACAATAAACAAAATGCAAATTAAGACACTCGCAGCAACCAATTATTTCACTGTTTCCACAACCCAAAAAACTCAAGAACAGTATGAGTACAGAGAAGGAAAAAAAAAAAAAAAGTATCTTGAAGAAATGAGTATCTTGAAAACACAGAACTGTTTCTCAGTCAATGTAATATCCTTCTTTGTAAATTGGTAAGATTGCCTTTAAATATTAGTGGTGGGCTAATGCCTCAAAACAGAAGAATGGATCAGGAAGATGCGGTACATACACACAATGGAATATTACTCAGCAGTCAAAAATGCCATTTGCAGTAACAAGGATGGAGCTGGAAGAGATTATGCTAAGTGAGATAAGTGGAGGAGAAAGATAAATACCAGATGGTTTCACTTACATGTGGGATACAGAGAAAGCAAACAAAGGCACAGGAAAAACAGGGAACTTGCAAGCTGCCCAGACTGAGGCATACAGCAGGGGAGGGAGGGTGAGTAGGTCTAAACCGGGAGGGAATCGCACAGGGACTCTGTACTGGGTCACGGGTGCTGTGGTGATGGGATAACCACCGCGACAACCCTGAGGGACGAAACCAAAGAAGGTCCAAAAATTAACAATGCTATCAGAAAATAATTTTAAAAAGAATACGGGCAACAACAAAATATTAAAAGGTGATACTGAGGAGACAACCATAAGCTCAGGGTAAAGAAAACTACAGGTTGAAGGTCCCACCGAAAGGATGACAAAGCCTGGGGTACCGGTAAGGGTGGGTGAAGATTCAAAAGCGTAAAGCCTGTAAAACTGGGTATTTCCACTGATGCTTGGAGTTTAGAAATAATGACCAGTCCATTTTCTTGACTTATATATATATATTTTTGTAACAGAAAAGACACATGTAAGAGAAAGGACTACTTAGAGTTTACAATTTAAAATGATGGAAATTGAATGGAACATTCTATTATTTATGACAGACTTTGGTACCTAACACTAACCCAGTTAGCAAATGTGGCATGAGGAGTGTGATCCTGTACCTCTCAATCATATACAGTGCTGTAAACCAATGTTACCTTAATAAAAATATTATTTTTTGAAAGCCCTTTTTCTATGCAGAGCACAACCAAAGTTTTCTACCCTATCTTTATTTTAGTCTGTGGTCTTTACTGGGAAAAAAAAAATTAGAATAAACTGTACATAAGTCATCTTTGCTTTTCACATAGAGAAAACTCACATCAGAACTCTCTCAAGTTTGAACTAATCATAAATGATCAAGTTGTTTTCTGAACCAGAATACTAATACATGCATTAGGATAACATCAGTCAAATTATTAAGAGTTAATAAGAATACACTTATATTTGGTGCAAATTTAATTTTATTATACCATACAATGAATGTTGTGGTATATCATTTTCCACTGTGTGACAATTTATTGGCTGGCATCTGAATACAGTACTTCTTTTGAAAATACACAAGGGGTACTAACAAAAGGGAAAGGAACTTTAGTTGTTTAGTGATATATGAGGGCAAGAAAAAAAGGGATTGACCGATTAATTTTAGTTTCCTTAGTATCAACCTCTAAAATGATTTACGCCTCAAGCAATAACGCTGCTGTTACAGTGTACGATAAATATGGTTACACACCCACAATTCTGAGAAAGTTAGTTACACGGGTTATTATACCTATAAAATTCAACCTAAGGTTTCTGCTGGGCAATGTGACTTTATTTTTCAAATATAAACCTAAACAATTTTCCCGAGGCATGTAGATGGGAGGTCTCTAAAATAATATACATTAGGTCGCCACTTTACAAGTGAGCCATCACTTAACTTCAGAATAATGGGCACTAAATTACCTTTTGCCAATTTGGGTACTTACCCCTGTCAAATTCATGGCCAAGAAAATGACTATTTTTTTTTTAAATCTATAATCCACTTGACTTTAATTTACAGTAGACTGGTATCTAATCTGAGTAAAATGACCATTTCTTTTACAGAAATGATTGATAATGGAACACCTAAAATTCAGCAGGTCTTAACAGGGCTCTGTTTTGTAGAAATGTAATCAATATTAGCTCCAGCCAACATCAGCATGCTACAGTGTATAGTTCAGTCTGACTCAAATGAGTGTAACTAGTTCATTAAGTATAAATTGCTCATCCATGGTTAAAAAATATCACAAGTTCATGTAATTTTTTTATTCGGCTCATGACATATTGAGAATACATTCCGACAAAGGCCTGAACAGTGTCTGAGGTCATACTCATTAATCAACTTCCTCTACAATAAAATACCAACAATTCTGAGCTATTTAACGGATTTTTCAAAAGCTCTTAATGACATTTACAGAGATGGAAAATACAGGAGAATTATATGCTCATCTAAAAAAGACATTTCCATCATCAAGAACTGAAGAACACTTCACACTATTATCTATTTTTAGTGGAGGAAAATGCCATATAAAGAAACCCTTATTTTATACTAGAGTTGCAGAATTCACCTTCACCTGTAAAAGCAATGTGAGATGTGTCCTATTCTAAGAGCATACAAGCCCTCCAACCCCTCCAAAACAGAAGGGAAATGGTAAATCACTTAAAGATCCAATTGCTCATCCTTTACCTAAAAGTTGAGATCAACGAACACAGATTTATTGCACGTGCCAAGACTTCCTTTTAAAAACAGCAACTTGTCTATATAATGCTTATACCACTTGATCATTGCCAAATAAACTCAGAATACTGATGTCTCATAACTCTAGAATCTTCATCTAAATTAAAGTATTCTTAAGATATATGGCAGTTAAACATTTCACCAAATTTGCCCATGGTAAATATCAAAACCTCTTCAGGAAAAGGTTGGGAAAAGATGATATGTATAATACATATGTAAGTGGACAAATTTATATTGATAAAGCCAATCTACCTCTTTCAATGGTGAAATTTACAACCTAGTAAAATGAGTAAGGATATCTTTAAAATTATTAAACCTCAGGTATTTAACCAGAAAGTAAGTCTAGGGTTTTCTTGCTTATTGATAACTCTTCATTATAAGCTTTTTATTGAATAAAGATGAAGATAAACCTAATGTGACTGCAGTATGACCCTCTAAATACTATTACATCAATCCTCACAATAAAATGTCCACACAAAAATCCACGTGATCCAGCTCATTAAACTCACAGGTAAATTGAGTTTTTCTCAAATCAATAAGGAGCTTTTTATTCAGAACAATTTCATTAAGACATTTGCAGGGCAAATATGACATCATAAATTTTATTCTGAATAACAATAAAGTGCTGAATGATAATTACCTGAATCTTTTTAGTACTTTTCACTTATCTTTCCTTAAGTTAAAAGAGCCCTTTCTGTGGCATTAGCAAAGCTGTAAAAAAAATCTTTTTTCAAAAAGAAAAGAAAAGCTAACTTTCAGTAAAGGGAATAGGAAGTGCTTCAACCTTGAGTGTTTAACTATTGTGACAAATGATTGCGACCAAAGTAATTCATGCAAGTTATCTTTAAAGGTATAGGTAAGCTTGAAGAAAGAAAAGAACACTGTTACTGACCTTTGATACTACGGCAGTAAATTGCGCACTAAAATACTTTAATTATTCTAGATCTGGCTTGGCAAGCATCATGCCACTGACATGCTTTAGCTCTTTTGGTAACTAACATTTATTTGCAGTTCAATTAATGAACATTTCAATATGACTCATTAAGCTGTGTGATAAACTTTGGTTAAATTTAAGCAAATTCTCTACACCTAATCACATCATCAGCACAAGCAGGACAACGCTGGGGCAGCATGAAAGGTGGGTCACTTTATGAAGATTCTTCCTTTTACCGCATGATATATTAAGATGACAGACCTAAATTGCAACTGGGTTAATGAGTTAGAATAGATTTGTTTCCCAAATTTAGCACACAATAATTTCAGTGGATTAGAGAAAGAAACCTCAGCTGTGAGGGGAAGGGGAAAAAAAAAATGCAGGAGCTCAGGTAGGTAACCAGTAGCTCTAAAAATGATCATGCTAACAAGAGTACTTTCAAAAAATGAACTTTGGAACAAACTAATCAGTGTTTTAAACTGAAGTTGACCAAGTGCTGCATAGAAAATATGCCAACATACAACAGTCAAGTTTAAGCCGGTGCATAGAGAAGATAAAGCACTTATGGTAACTGCAAATGGTAACAAGTCCATAAAGTTTGTACAACCTAGCATGGATCCGTAAGAAGAAAAAACTGGTAAGTAGAAATGGTTAGGAAAATTAAAGTAGAAACAGGGGAGAAGCTTGGAGAAGGAAGAAGCAGGAAAAAAGACCTTCAACGGTATAAAATTCACAACTCAGGAAAGTATAAAGATACCACTGAAAATGATCAACTCTTTCCCAAACACCCAACAGCAAACAAAACTAGAATGGGTAAGCCTTTGGCAGACAATCTTAGAAATTTGAATAATGGCATTATATTTCTCGATAATTCAGAAACAATATATTATATGGTATTATTTATATTAAATACTGGGAAGCCAATCCTGGAAATCTGATGCTTACAAGGCTTTAGCCAATGAGAGCACGCGGACAGTCAAGCGAAATGAATGCTGGTGTCATCACAAACAGTGTTCATTTATAAAACAACTGTTGCCAATTCGTGCTTGAGTAGTGCTAAAACACAGTCAAACTATCATCTATGAAGTGAAACAAAGGTCTCCAGCTTTTCTGGAATATGCCCTTTATAATATATTCTATGATTCACTATAACACGAGCAGCAAGACACTGCAATGTGGTATGATTTATGGGTTGGATCAAATTCTTAGCTATTTCCTTCTCATCCAGCAAGTCACTAGCAGTTTGTTTGTGCAAGTTTGTGGCATCAAAATGTGCACCTGATTTAATAAGGAGATTCATGATGTCTGGATGGTTGTTCAGAGCAGCGATATGTAGGGGACTGTTGTCATCGGAGTCTCTGACGTTCACATCAGCACCACATTCTATCAGTATCGCAGTAACTTGCAGAGATGGAAATTTACAAACAGGGTACCGTCCTACACATGTAGTATTCTTGTCCACAGCCAGATGAAGAGGGCTGAAGTTATTCTTTCCCCTAGGATGCAGCTTAAGAAACCTGTATATAGTCTGCTTTTTAAAATGGTCTTGTTCTAGAGTACAAGGAACTTTTTCTAACAAACAAATTAGGTGCAAAATGATGGAAAGCGCCTTGTTTAACTGTAGTGGGTCAGCTGGACACTGCGTTTGTTTGATAGCTCGCTCAATTTCAAGGACACTTTTGCACAGTATGCCCATCAGATCATCAAATGTAACAGTGGTGCCCAGCAAGCCTTTAGCCCTATCCTGTAGCATAAAAGAGAACAGTTCCGCAAAAGACAGTAAGCTGCTGGCGGTCATTGGGCTTAAAGGGTCCAAATTGTTCTGCTGCATATCCAAAGCATACTTCCATAGGTTGATACAGCGTTTGAAATTCCCAGAGTCTGCGTAAACAGCGCCTCTGTATCTAATGTAGTAAGAAGTATCAGGATGAGAAGGACCAAGAATACGTTCTCTGATTAATAGTGCCTGCATTCGCATCTCGTCGGGATCAGCAATGAGACCTTCGAGTTCTTCTGCACTGTTGACCTCCTTGGCGTAATCATAGGCCATTATTAGTGTCTGTGGTACTGGTTTGCTAATTATATTAGTTTTATCACTGTACCTCATGTTCATTGCTTTTTTCCAGTATTTCAAAGCCCCAAGCAGATCTCTTTTCTTGTCTACAAATGTAGCTCCCAGAAGCTCCAAAGCATTGATCCGCTCCGTCTTGCTGGTCTGTGCATGGTGAGTCAGAAAATCCACAATATTTGTGTGACCAGTCACACTTGCTGAGAGAAGGGGAGTCATTCCATAACCATCCTTTTCCATCTTGGCACAGTACATAAGGAGCATCTTCATGATGTCCAAGCTCCCAGATTCTGCACAATCGTGCAGTGCAGTATTACCTTAAGGAGAACAAAAAAAGAGGTGACATATTTTGAAGGACCAGCGTCTAGTGCAATGCATGCATGTACTTCAGCACCTAAAGGAAAGCAGGCCCTCCAAGTCTTCCTACAGTAGAAGTCCTCTAGTAGGTAAAAAATGAAGAAAAAATATCTGTTGCCTAAAACTAGTGTCTGACACTGCAGGGGTTAAAGAAATACTTACTAAGCTTGTAGAATACATGAAATGACCAAATTATGCATGAAACGGATACTGAAAGTAATCCAAGGCCACTTGATATTTTAAATGTTTTCAAGTGTATGTTCTATGATTAAAATCTGATGAAATTAAATTAACTAGTTATTCAATTTTGCTGGCAGTTATTTAACTTCCTGGGTCAGTTTCCACATTTTTAAGTGAGAAATCCAATCCATAATATGTAAGATTCTCTGATTTGATTCTAAAAGCCAAAAATTATTTTTCCATTGTTTCTGATTACCAAGTGAACTACAACTGTTTTTAGTCAAAATTCTTAGTACTTTCCTCAAAAAGCTCCCATAAGAAAACTAAGTCCAATAAAATCTAAAAAGTATGTGGGAGGTTCAATATGAACTTTAAAGGAGACATCTGAAGTGTCCTCTCATAATGGGTTGTTTCCCATTGTAATTTAATTTTTTTAACATTCTTTTTAGAAGTACTAAATGTTCTAACACTGTCCTGTTCTTCCCACACATGGATTAAAACTGACAACAGGCACTGGCACACTAGTAAAAGCCTGTGTGAAACATATTAAGACATTATAACCACACAAGGACTTTAGCTTCCTAAGTTTAATGATAAGCACCTTACTAAGTTCCCAAACTGAAATGTATCATGCAGACCTTTGCTATTTACATGTGATGCTTACAGGAATTTCAACAGTGAGTCATATGAGGCTGACACTGCTATCCTTAGAAAGACCGACCTGCAAGGATGACCCTTGGCTAGCATTTGCAACTCGTGTGGTCAACAGTCCCAAGATGTGAAACTTCCCAGAGGCTTAGTATGTCCTCAGTGTACAAACAATGCCATTTTTGCTGAACACCTGCTTTCCTTCGGGGAACCTGTATTTTGGGGCACATGCTTAGGAGGGGTACCTATAGATATCAGCAGCTGCCAATACAGTGGTCAGATGCAGACTTTACAGTAATTGTGGTTGATGTATTCAATCAGATTTAAAACATTTTGAGAAATAGAATGCTGGAAACCACAAAAAAAACCAAAGAGACATTCTAGAACTGAAAAACCCAGTGGATGGATTTAAAGTCAAACAACTCACAGTGAATACATAATTAGTGAACTGGAAAATAAGTAAAATGAAAATGTACAGAAGCAAGCATGGAGGTAAAATAATGAGAAAACAGGAGACAGAAAGAGGAAGGTAAAAATGTCAAGAGGGTTAAATAACTTAAAATCAAATTCTGAGGGAAAAAGCCCAATGCACTATTTAGAGAAAGTCTGAGATTTGCTGAAGAGGATAAAAGGTTAAACTACAAATTTAATAAGTTTTACAAATACCAAGAAGGATAAAGAGAAATCACACTGACGCACATTATAGCAAAATGCTGGAAAATAAGAAAAAATCTTAAAGCTAGAGAAGAGGTGGAGAAACCTGCATGAGAGCAGTAAGTAAAATGAAGTGCTCATCAGGAGCAACAGCAGTCAGAGACAAAGGAATGGCATGTTAGCATCATAAAGGGAAACAATGGCCAACCTGGACGTCTATTCCCATGGCAAGATCAAATGTGAAATAAAGGACTGATTCAAGTGAGAGGAAAAAAGAAAGAAAATTTAACATATTCATAACCATGCATACACTAAATGCTTTAGTGTATGTTAGGGAAAGGGAGATGAACCACACTGGCAAGTTTGGAGAGACGAGTGTAAGCATCAACGGAAAGGGTAAATAACACACAGCTTTGTGGGAAATCTAAATAAATAATGACTTTAATAATAATAGAGTGTTGTAAGTCTTGAAATACAAATCAAAGTAAAATGATGGGGAAAGCATAAAAACAAATAACTGGCGCTATAGTACTCTATGATCTCTGTATTGTCTGAAAAAAATAAGAAGTTGAAGTCAGCCTTTGGTAAGTCAAAGTAGTAATATAGTAAAATACAAACCAGTAAAATAATAGACCTGTGCATACAACTAACTACAGTTTCTCTACTATAGAAAATACAAGGAATAATGAAAAATAACACAGAGATCAAATAAAAAAGGTGAGACAAAAAAGGTAGGACAAGTGAAGATTAAAAAGCAGCTACTAGATTAAAGCCCAAACATATTAGTGATTACAAAACAAGGCTTTAAAAATAGCTAAACTTTCATTTGAAGAGGCAACACAAAAAAACAGTATGTTAGGTACAAACAATATGCAAATAACAAAAAGCAGAAATTAGTGACGATTTTTTCTTTTCCCGAATTTTATTTCTCGACCTTTGCACACTGGTAATAATTAATTAATTAATAACTCTACAAAGCAAAGAAGATAAACTTACTTTCCAAAGAGAAATCAGAACAAGTAAAACAAACCCATGTCTCCCAACTGCACTTCAGTGTTGCTCCCGTCTGGGCTCCTATTTTACATGCTAGGGTCATGCTAGACCCTAGGAGTTAAGTTAAAGCTAAAACAAGGCAACACACATAGTAAAACTTTGCCACTCACATAATTTTCCTCAAAAGCTTTTAAACTTATTTCTAAGGAAAAAGGTAAAAAAGTACGCCATTTTCAAAGCACACCACTGAATCTCAAAACGACTTGTGTGCAGGAGAGGAATGAGGCAGAAATCTGTCGTTTTAGAAGGCAGATAGGTGCTTGAGTGGAGCTTGGTCTTGGTTAGTGAGAACACATTAAGGAGATACACCATGGGAGGTGGATTTGAAAAGACTGAGAAGTGTTTTCCTACTCTACCTCTCTTGCCACCTTTCTTTTCTCAGCTGCACTGAGTGCCAGCAGGAGCTGGCAAACTTTCACAGCGTAGGCTTTGCTGACTGACCCTTTTTTGTGCTGGGGCACAAAAAATACCCAGCGGCAAATTAACAAACACTAAATGATATCCAACAAAGTCTTACTTACAGACATTAAAAAATGACTTTCATGTAATTTTTATGTGTCATGAAATATCATTCTTCATACCTCCCCCAACCACTAAAAAGATAAAATCCTTATCTCAGTTCCCAGGCACTGATTAAAAAGTGTGTGGGTGGCAGGATCTGACCTCTGGGCCAACAGCACGCCCACACGCACTGTGACCTGAAGGCTGTGTCAATGTGCAGCAGAGACGAGGCAGGTTCTGCTTCTGTTTTATAGCACTCCACCCTAAATAGTTCTCCTGTGACAATTCTGTCTTCTCTCCCTAACTTTTTGTCCTTCAAGTTTCACCAGAAATTTCAGGTGCTCAAAGACACATCTGTGGGTATGGTATATCAACTTGTCTTTTGAGAATGCCGGAAAATATTACGTACTTCACAAGTCCGTTTTCTTACCTATCCTATGTACTCCTTAAGTACACAGATCCTGTATTATATTTTCTCTACATCACACAAAGCAGCTTGCAAGCTGCTAAAGCTAAGGTAGATGATGAAACTTTTAGGGCTTTTTATCACACAAAGTGACTCAAGCTGAGCCTCTAGGGCCAAGTTTAAACAGTAAAATACTAAAAGAAGTATTATGATTAAGTATCTTGATTAAGTATTATGATTAAGTATCTTGATTATGAAGTATCTTGATTATGCTAACAAATTAAGCATATAACCACTGAAATTTTTTGCTCTGGAAATTAAAAAAACAAGTACAGCCTAGCAAATTTTACTGAAATTTAGAAAACAGAAGTTAACAAAAGGCATATAATTTTAAAGCAACTATAATTTGAACCAGGTCTCCACGTGTCCTTACATAGTACGTTTTGATAAAGTCCTAACCAGTTTCCTGCTTTCTCACTGACAGCTTGCTCATTCTACCACACTGTATTACTACATGGTCTACATGAACCACATAGATACACATAATTATTCATGGTGAGTAAGGAGGCATGCCACAATCTATATAAATACTTCCCAGTTGAAGAACATGTGCAAACTTTTTCTGGTTACAATGAATTAAAAAGAAGCAGATAAGGACAGAGAGTGACTGCCAAGGGGGAGAATGCTGGGAGAGGACCTGAGTGCAAAGGCGTGCAAAGTAACTTTGTGTTCTAACCTTAGTGCAGCAGTGGTAAGGATACAGCTGTTCAAAACTTGCAGCAAGTAAACTAATAAAAGGATGGATTTTATTACCTATGCATATGTTACATTTTAATAAACAAATTCTGTCTTCCTTAAAACAGACTAACAAATATGTGATAGCCTAACATACATCTTTAATTCACTTCCAGAGAAATTACAAAGTGTTTGAAGGGTTTCGCAGTGATTTTTTTTTTCTAGTACTGGAGTTAATTTATAAATTTCAAAAATTTATGTCTGTTCACAAACTGTATTTTCTTTTATGACATGTCTATGTACCAGTTTGTAGGACTAGTCTTTCTATAAATAATGACCAATCAGTTGTCTTCTATATATCCTGTACATATTTCACCCGGTCCATAGTTTCATTCAAGAATGTTAGGTAGGTTGTAAGTATTAAACTATTCACCGCAAGTTCTTGTGAAAAAAAATAACAAGCTTAATTTTTAAAGTTTTCTGTATAATCTTGTAACTAATTTGTACAAACTAGGTTCCAAAGATCAATAACATCCTATTTAAGTTTTCAAGATAACGTCAATGATTTAAAACTTTTGGTGCATAGCAATGTATGACAGGTATTATTAGAAAATTCATCTTGGGCATTTTCTCTGGGTTATGAGCCCCTTAAAGATATTTCCATAATACAATAATTATACTTTCAAAAGATTCTGTAGCTCCATCTCATGTCTTATTTTTATATTTTTAGAGAAAGAGTGAAAAACACAAAAAATTTCAAAATTAAAATTTGAAAATAAAGAT